AAATGTTAAAAAATTAATAGTAAAAATTCTAAAATAGTCTAAAAAGTAAAATAAGTACGTAATATTTTAAAAACTAAAAAATAGAAAATTATAATGAAGAAAGAATATAAAAAAGTATATAAATTTTAAAAAATCCACATAAAATAAAAAAACAAGTTTCAAATAATTCATAAAATAAATTTTGGAAAATACCAAAGTGAACATTAAGATTCATGAAATGTAGAAAACATGTAGACGCTAAAAAATTTGTAAAAAAATTAAAGAATCTATATTTTAGGATTTCAAAACACTCTAAAAATTTGCAAATAAATACATAAATATGTGAAAACATTCATAAATTTCAAGTTTTATAAAAGTAAACAAAACAGAAAATAAAATTTTTAATTACTAAAAAACCATATGATAAAAAAAATACAAAAAAATCATAAAATTAAAGTAAATTAAAAATATAAAAATATAAAAATTTGAAAAAATAAAAGTAAAAACCAAAATAATTATTTAAAAATTTATAATAGTATCAAAAATGTTTTTAGAAGTATTAGAAAATGTGAAAATAATTAGAACTCTTAAACAAAAAAAACGTTTTTAAGAAAACTGAAAAATATTTTTTAAAATGCAAATAAATACATTAAAACATTTAAAAAATATATATAAGTAAAAAATGATCTGAAAAATTAATCACCTTTAAAATTACTATAGTTATAATTTTGTAGTTATTTTTGTTTTTTATTGTTTTTGTGTGTTTCTTTTTATTGATAACTTTAATTTTTTTGTTTTTTATTGTTTGGTCATGTTTCTTATTGTTATCAATGTTCATTAATTTAAAAATTTATTATTTTGTTCTTTGTATGTATAGCACTATAGCTATATATTTATTCCAAGTAGGCAATGCAGATAAATATAAACTTAAATGAACAAAAAAAAAGTAACAATGATCAACAACAACATGCAACACAAGATGCAACAAAAAACAAAATGCAACAAAAAGCAACATGATACAACAAAAAACAACATAATGCAACAAAAAACAAACAACAAACAACATGATACAACAAAAAACAACATAATGCAACAAAAAGCACACAACATGATACAACAAAAAACAACATAATGCAACAAAAAGCAACAATAAATAACACCTAAAAACCGTCACAACAATATATAGTCATATCTATCATTTCAATTTATTACATCTAGTACATCTGTATCTCATCACACAATTTATCAAGTCTATCTCTCTTGTCTTGATTTTCCTCATCCAACTTCTCAGCCTTGCCTCTTCATGTGCTTCTTTTTAGTATGCGCCTGCAATTAGAATGCAATTATCACACAAATTTAGAAAAAATTATTACCAGGAACCATTTTTTTTTTACCAAATCAATTGTTGTGAATGAGATATATCAGAGAGTTTTCTTGGTTCAAAGTTCTCACAGGGGGTTATCCATTTCACACTTCAGGTTCAGAATATAAATAACAAAAAGTGCTCAGATACCTCAACCTCAGTTCAAGTTAAAAGCCACTATGACCAGCCACACTGTTGTTTTTTTTGTTCAACAGTTTAAAATGGAGCATTGACCATGTAAATATTCTCAGTGTCTTCATCACTACTGTCTTTTTTCTCATCACCGCTAAACTTTTGGTGCACCTGGGTTCTCAAAGGTACATAGTGATTGAAGAGCTGAAGGTCCCCATGAATATTAACCAAAAACCATTACACATATATGACCGATGCACCAAAATGTATCAACAACTAGAAGATAAAAAAATAAGAAAAAACATAAAAATGATTATTACCTCAATCAATCTATGAATGACCAATAAAGAGGCATAGGGTCTAGGAAATTAAAAGGACATACTTCACCGTGTTTTTTGTGAAGAGTCTAGAAAGATGCAGCGTCTTGCACAGGAGCATGTCCAAAGGGTCTTACATGAACAATAAAGTCTGAATAAGGAACTGGAGAACAAGAAGAGGCAGCTTGATTCTTGGAGCAGAGAACTGAACAAGGTGAAGTCTTGACTGAGTGAGAAATAGTTCACTTGAAATGGCCTCCGTGGAGGAGAAAAAAGCTCATGAAAATGTGTTAAGTCTTGATGTACTATTTTCCAAACTATAATCAAAATATATGCATTCGTCTTCTAAAAAACACTTTACTACACTCAATCTTTGAAAACATATATAGACTTGGGCATTTTGTTACTAATCTAGTGCCCAGACAAGAACTTCCTACACCAATTTTCCCACCTCTAGCAACTCTAGTTACATTTACCATATGAAAAAGTGTATGGTAGAGGAGGGATAAATAACAATTTCTCAAAGACCAGTATAGGCTAGAATCCTTAGGTGAACAATTGATCAAGTATATGCAGAAGCTAAGCATTGTTATTAAACAATCTTGGGATATTCCAGAATTCAGAATTCACAATTTACAATTAAGAACTTGAACTGTATTGAATTACAAGTCTAAATCTGAACTCAAACAAGTAACAATATTCACATTAAATAACAAATCACAATTCCTCAAACTAAAGCTGAACTTATAATTTACAACAGCTTGAAAGTTCACAACAATCAAATTCCAAAAATCTAGGGAGAAATATTTCTGAATTCACATATCACAACAACAAAACTCTCATACTCCAGATATATAGTCATAAAGCTGAACTAGATACAATACGACATAAACAAAGCTAAAACTAAAATACATACCTGAAAATCAGATGACCACGGTTTCAGTCAGCATGCGGGGGGAGATGGATTGTGCACTTGTGCAGCCGTGCAGGGACTTGGAATCGGGCGAGGGGCACAGTCGTTTAATGGCACAAGGCAGTAGGTCACTACTGTCTACCAGCGAAGTGTAGAACGCCGACCGACGTGAGTGGCAACAGGTCTCGACTTGTCTGCTTTGAAGGTTAAAGGGACGAAATCGATCTAAACTAATCTCGATTCCCATCCTGGAGACCACCAAATTGTTCGCCTGGCTGCCAGACGATGCTGGAATGAGGAATCCGAACACAACTCTGTAGGTGATGTTCAATAACGACATAAGATCTCTTCCCTCTGAAGAGAGTTGGAAGTCGATCATGATTTGAATGTTTGATTTCGCAAGAAACACCGATACAAAATCTCATACTCTAGATAATACTCTACGGAAGGTTGGGAAAAACAGTTTAAAACTGAAATAAAAAAACAAAAGTGAAAACCGAAAAGTCTAAAATTGAAAAGAAAGAGTAGTTCTGCTACAAATGATATGTTACCCCTAAGACTGGACCGTGTGGGTAATTTTCACTAAAAATTTCTCATAAAATAATACTACGTATAAGTCAGGTGTCAATTATAGTATAATAATAATAAATGAAGTACTATTTCAGTATTTCTCTTAAAAGAAATTACTTTAAATAGGAATAAAAATACGACAATTTTCGTAAATATGAGGGTGACAATTTTTTCTAAATAGGAATAATATATATTGCAATCCCAAAGTCATACTACCATATTAATACATGATGATAATTGCATAATGAGATATTATGACTTTAGAATGGCAGTATTTTACTCTTAATTAAAATAAAATAAAATAAAATAAACATAATACGAAGTACTTCTTTCTAGACACTACTCTTATTTTAAGAAAATTTCCTTTTTCTGTGGAAAAAATATAGGGGGTTTATCCAAGGGATTTAAAGTCCCAATTCAAGGGATTCGTTGGGCCAAGCTCACTACCCCAAGTCCCCAACCATTATTTTTCTTACACAACCCTCACGAGAAAATGATAAGACCTGAACTACACACGTTCTGACCTTACTATGCTACCTTAATCGCACATGCATCACCATCTCACTATCTCATAGGGTGGGTTCGGTTCTTGCGGTTCGGTTTTGACCTAAAACCAAATATAGAATCAAAGTAAAAAGTTCGGTTCGGTTTCGGTTCGGTTTTACACTCCAAAACTTGGAACCACGGTTTGATTGGTTTGGTTTGTTTCGGTTCGGTTTCGGTTTTTTCGGTTTTTTTACCAAAATTTTTTCACTTGATTTTAAATTGATATAATACTTAGAGGCATCAAACATATTACATAAAGAATTCAAGCACAATATAACGACAAATAAAATAAAAATGAGAAGAGATAAATATGTCTTGAATTTTATGAGTATGCGAGATAGATAAAACTGTATATATTATTGATTTAATTTGTTTGTGAGTAGTTTGAAAATTTTTCATGAATATGTGTTCTATATGATATAGTTGAGATTAATATTTATTGTTTTACCAATATAAAATCTTTAAGTTAGCTAAAAATAAAAGTTAATTACTACTAATAACTAGTAAACACATATGATCACCATTCAATATAGCTATTATTACAGACAATGAATGTGTAAATGAATTTATAAATTAAATTAAATTAAACATAACACAAACATTACTTCTCTAACACAAGAAAACCAAAGACTATTGATGATATTAAGATTAACTAGAATTAATGCTTAACAATTAACATATAAATATCATATTTTAAATAGTTCGGTTTGTTCGGTTCGGTTTTGAAGGGTAAAAACCGAAACCGAATCGAACAACTTCGGTTCGGTTCGGTTTTTTACATTCGATTTCGGTTTCTTAGCGGTTCGGTTTTATTTGGTTGCGATTCGGTTTAATTTGATTTGGTTTTCGGTTTTTCGGACCCAGTCCTACTATCTCAGTCCTCTACTACCGTCACCAGATCAAACAGTGCATGGCCCAATCACAGGACTACACCGGCCTGTTACACCCATAAAAACTCTTACAACTACAAATGCTACAAAATGCTAGCTAGAAGGGCCATTGGTATAGTAGTTGCTGCATGGTATATCCTATATCCATATCCCTTTAAACTTAAATTGTATATGAACAAACAAATATGAACTTTTAGGATGAAGGTAAAACCAAAAACCATGATGTAACCCAAATGTCTTAAAAGACATCCTTTACCACTGCTATCAAGTTGATAGTTTCAGAATATAGCCTTCAAGCCTTTGCCTTATATATGAATGTCAATTAAGCTTTAACGAACAATTAGATTCTGAATTATCACATACTGGTACACAAGGCCAGCATTAGATTGCGCTTCAATCGTTTAGGAAGAAATCCCAAATCTTAAGTCATTCATTGTATGACCACAAATTTGTACCCCCTTATCTCCAAACCCCAAGCATTGCTAACCGTAAGTCGATTGTGATGTGAGTAGGACTCGATGAATCAATACTCCCAAAATGGTAAAAAGTTTGAAGATTATCATTGAAACATAAGCAATGTCAAACCATCAAAGTTCAGGCATAAAACAGAAAGCTTTTGGAAGGGAAAAGAAAATGGGGGTGGGATAACAGAATAATGGTTTGCCTTCACCGGCCTCCATAGCAGAAGCGACATCATCTAATGCCATCCAGACCTCGAGAGGAATGCAGATGGCTAAGCCACATCAGCTCGAGGAATGTGTGGCCTGACCGGTGTCTTTGAAGGACTCACTCTGCAATATTGCCAAATTTTAATCACTTCAGTTTAGAAGGTATATAATCTGTTGTAATAAATGAGATAGGGAGTATGATACACGGAGTACTGTATTTTCACATCACATGATGAAGATGATAAATGGATCCGCTCCTTACTGTGTTATTACCAAGAGGGAAAGGGTAGGACAATTAGTACAAATAATAAGGTGCCTGGATGTCTCAGATATAGTTTTGAGAGAAAAACACAAAAGTTGTTGCCAAAATATGGATCATGTCGTCTTAGACTGTTTTAGTTTAATTTGATGATTGGTTTGATTTGGCAGCACCACATGAGGAGAACAAGTCCTAACTCCTAAGTGGCACTGAGTGAGTGGGAATGATAAAAGAAGAAAAGAATGCATTGTTGAGGTAATGAACTACATTTACTTTGAATAGATGAAAAACCAGTGGGAAAAAAACCATACCTAATGCCTTGCGATCCCAAAATTTCACCGCAACAGTCCAAAGCTATAATCGCACTTTCCGCCTGCACCCCAAGTGTTATTGGTCTATATGAGCACATGGTTTAAATCTAATGCATGCAGAATAGGTTTAATCAGCTATGTTGCAAAGCAAAGTGAGAAACATGAAATGAGAAAAATCATCTTTTAATAGAAACACAACTATTTGGAGAGTTTCTTATGAGTTTACGTAAAGTATGTGAAATGGAAACATACTCTCCATGAGTTTCCATGTTTTAATAGATAATCAGTTCAACCAAGATTTTTTTTGTTCAGCAACTAATTTTCAGCAACGGATAATTATACGGGCAGCGGCGGATTTTCATCATAAAGATTCGACCATTTTAACATATCAAACTAAAATAAACATAGATTCAGTTCAAGCAGATTTGGATTAAACTTAGCTTAACAAATATATTAGCATTTATACCACGCATGAATTATTGGTGCGGTTAGATGCGCTTACTTGGCAAATCCAACTCCATTATTCCATTCTTAGAAATATAAAAGGAAAATGTATAAAGAATGTTTTCTTAAGCATGTAGTACACATAAGAAGTCAGCATACATGAAGCTGCATACTTATTAAGCAAATGAATATGTACTTAAGGAGTTGTAAATACTGATGCATTTAGAAGCCACAATAAAAATTAATCCCTTTTGAGGGGCGTTGTCAAAGTATACTAGTATAGTAAGTAGAAACCCTAGAATTTATTATATGAGACTTAAGACCCATTATTTTTCTATACAAGTACTGTACTTCGTATTAGTCTTCAGAAGCTATCAAGTTGTAAACTCAAAGCTATATCAATAAAAAAGGGAAAGTTCCCGAAATAGGACTAAAACAGTTTGACTGGTGTTCGACTGGGAAAATATTCTTTATTTAGATGAATTTGGTATCTGTTAATCTTTGTAAAAAATATGTAAATAAATTTAATCAAAAATCAGAATTAACGCTTCAAATACGGTTATCACTAAAACACTAACTATATGTTAGATGATAGAATATTAAAATAATAATATTTTTAATCCCTGTCGGTAATTCTAGCTTTGGACCAATCAGAACAAGAATCTTTAAAACCCTTGGACCAAAAACCAGACCGGTAGATAATCAGTCCGGGTCAGATCGGGACTTGCCGGTTCAGTTTTCCAGTCAGGATTGGAATGCGTTCTGTCATACTTTTGATATTCAACATCAACCAACATAAATAGTAGTATTAACTATTGAAGACGCATAAGAATACACATACCATGACAAACTCAACAAAAGCAATTCGGGTTGAGTGCACTTGATCACCCAAAAGCCTTATCCGAGAGATCTGAAGAACAATCATAGTGTATTAGCAACTGAAATAACACACAGAACACTTTGGAGCATCAGAACATTACTCACCGCACCACATCTTGTTTCAAAGAAGTATTTCACATCAGCTTGGGTAAGCTATACATCAGAAAGCAAGTCCATGTTAGTATGACAGAAAAACATCTCAGAATTTTCTTTCATACTAATAGAATGGTTAAGTTAAGCACAGAAGGGTACACTGTCGAGATATAGAAAGTTAATACCTTTTTATCTATATTTGTACAATAAACTGTCCTAGCACACATCTCACGTTCATCCTCAGACTACATAAAGGAACATGCAAAACCAACGTGGACAACAAATCCACATGACAATAAAAAGGTTAAGAAAATGATATAAGAGGAAAATAATAATTTTCTAGTATCAACTACTAACATAAAAGAGCATCATACCCTTGGAAGGAACGTGGGGTTCACAGGAAGGATTGCAGTTTTTGAGGGCAGGACATTCAGTGGCGAGAAACCTAAGATTGTTCCAGAGATGTTAAGTGCTCCTCTTGCAGAATCTGTTGAATTTTTTTTCAGAAGCATATTAGATTACACAGAGTTTTGCCAAATTTTGAAAGGCAAGCTCTAGCAATGGCCAATAGAGAAAGATTTAGGGAACTAACATTCATGATAGAACTCCACAAAAGCAAATCGGAGACGGGAGTGAGGGTCGCCACATATGCGACAGTCAACAACCTGAAAAAAGCCACAACCTGAAGTTTCATCACTAGAACAAAGGTTTCGCTCAAAGAGCATTAAGGAAATAACTTTCAACATAGATATAATTCCATAAGTGTGTGTTTTGGGATATAGAAATCAAGCCTCAATTTCAACCCTCTTCTTTCTCTTCAAAATCAAAGGATGGTTCACTTACTTCACTATTCATTACAAAGTTTGCCTTTGTCCTACTTATAAAATATAACAAGTTACTTTGTGTATGTTTTGAATATTCTAATTGTAAACTCCCAAACATCATAAAGTTATTTCCCTCCAAAGCCAACAATACAAACAGTAATAAAAATTATTTACTTTCCTTTCTTATTTTACCTCAATCAAAACATACAAGAGGGTTATAAACTTATAACAGGAAAATAAATTCATTTCTCCTAAATTCATTTCTCTTTCATACATCTCTCTCCTCTCGAACTTGATTAAAATCTCAGTTGCAAGTCAGGGTATGATGGCGTGAATTTCCTATTATGTATGTTTGTATTTTTAACTAGTTTTATTAGTTTTAGTTGTGGAAATTACGCATTTTTGGTGTAATACTTTATTTTCATTAATTATTTGTAAATTAATTAGATTAGGATTATTCTGAGCTTAGGACAGGTCAAAATCATCCCAAGAATCAAAGGATGGATCCTAAAGACCAAAGAATGTGCAAAAGGGAGAAGATCAAATGAAGATTTTGATATTTGTTCAATACTCGGTCAAGTATTGCCAATACTCGGTCGAGTATTGGTCAGATATGCTGGTCAAAATCAAATCTGGGAGCAAAAGAACGTGGCTGAATATTTGATGAAAATCCTGTCATACTCGGTCGAGTATTGGCAATACTCGGTCGAGTATGCCTATTTTTCACAATTTCCTGGAAATTTCCTCTCATACTCGGTCCAGTATCCCCAATATTGGATCGAGTACAGAACCCTGCCACCTCCATTTTGCTATAAATACACCCCCTTTCCTTCACATTAAAAGAACTCCTTCTTCCATACTCTTAAGCTCAGTTTAGAATAGTATTTCTTTTATATTTTTATAGCATGTTTAGTCTCCAAATGAAGAGCTAAATTTCTTTTTCTTGGTGTTGCGCTTGAAGCTTGTTGATTATTAAAGTTGTGAGTTATTTTCTTAACTTCTTTCCTTGAATATTAATTCTTCCTTTAAATACTATTTCTATATCAATGTTGGGGAGTGTTACTAAGATGACAATTAGTTAACATCTTGACATTAGTTATAGTAATAGTTATTTCTTCCTCTATGTTAATATTGGGGAGTGTTACTAAGATGACAATTAGTTAACATCTTGATATTAACCATAGTAGGATTCATCTTCTATAATATTCTTCCCTGAGTATTAATTAATTCTTATTCATATTTCATATTAATATTTTTGAACATTACTTAAAGGATCAACTAGTTTTGTTTCATATATTAATTATTACTAGAATCGATCAACGAACCGATGGTTAATCGTTGATGGTTTCACAAGTAACTTCGGTTTATTAATGCACGGTCGTGGTTAATGAACTTAAGAGGGATTAATTTTGTTGGTTAAACCGAAACCGTTGTGTTGAGGTTATCAATCTCAATTGATTTCATCAAGGAGTTAAGAGATTAAATGCTACTATCAAGTCGGTATATGGCGGTGTTCTATATTTGACTAATAGTAAGGGTTATTAATGAACGGTCGTTGTTAATAACTACCCTCGATGAATTGGATATACTGCTCGATTGAGTATTCGAGAGGGGATAAGTTATAGATATAGCAATGATCGACTAAAATATATCAACAAGTGGAAAGTAGCAATGCCAAGTCCTTTTTATCTTTGAATTAAATCACATATAAATCGTTCATCTTCGTATTTAATTAAATTTAATCACTCAATCAAAACCCCCCTTTTATTTACTAGTTTTATAAAAAGAGAATTATTCTCTTCCCTGTGGATACGAACTCTAATATGCTATACTACGTATTAGTGCTAGTATTGAATTTATTTTGACGCACCGTGACAAAGTGCTCGTCAAGGTACATAAGACCCAAGCGGCTAAGCCATCTACAATGCAGACTATCATGTTGCCTTTAACAATACAAAACATATCTTCACCAACACACAAATAATAATGGTGATGTTTCCTCAAATCTAAATGCACTCCTAAAAACTAACAGCAAGGTATTTAGTTTACAATGGGCAGATAAAATTCCATTCCATAAGATAAAAAAATACAAAGCAACCACCACATGTATATGGTATATGATATGATGAAGATTGATGTTATAGGAGTGAAGTTACTTACTCGGCCATAGGCACTAAAAAGTGCAGCTAGTTGTTCTTCAGTGATCTAAGTAACAGTCGAAAGAAAAATACATATGAAATGGCATATATTGCAATACTCATGTTATGAATAGCGTTGAATGGAAAATGATACACATGCTTACATTTTGATCAATGTCAGTTACATAAACCGTTCGTTTGATGCTATCTTCTCTTTGAGCATTGAAACCTCTGCTATTCATTCTCTTCCTACCATTGTTATTGTTGTTTCTTCTCTGTGTAAGCAAAGAAATTTAATATAAAAGATAAAGACGACCAGTACAAACAGAATCCCAAGAAATAGTTAGCAACTACATAAAGCATCTCTGAGGGGAAAATGTCTAAACTGAAAATCAAGGATCCAAGGAAAGCAATAGGATCACTTTCATGGAAATAATCAAATAATCAAAGAAAATAGACCCACAAAACAAATTGGAAAAGAATCCATCAAACATAACTCTATAGACATCGAATTCTAAACATATAAAACCTTGAGGAATACAAAATTACCAAAATAGAAGAAAAAGAATGAAAATGAGATTTTGATAAGTCCTTACTGATGCAAACAATAAACAGAACATAACAACACCAACACCAACACTAACATCCAATCCTTATTCCCAAAAGAAAAAACAGAACAGAAAAGACAACTAAATCAGCATGGAGAAATGAGCCTATACCCTTCGGTTATTCGGGAAACCATGAGACTGACGCCTGTTGTTTGCCCGAAAATGATTGGCCATCCTAAGCTCTCGGTTATAGGAAGAAGGAAAGAACTCCCTCGCATGTGGATTCAACTTTAGTGTCTTTAGCATATCAACGATATCCTGCATTTCATATCCCGAATTTGAGTTCGAGTTTGAGTGTGTGTCACAATCAGACTCCTTATCACCAGTTGTCTCAAATTTCACATTGGTGCTATGATCAGAGCCAGAATCAGAAACTTTGTTCGAACCAGCACTTGAATTAGTTAAAGGAGAAGAATTCTCAACAGCAGGGGCCTTAACCAGTGTTGTCTCACCAGAAATCTCGGCACCAGGAGCCATTGAATCAAACTCAACTGAGGACCCAACACACAAGAAGATTTTTTTAATCAATCAAGACAGAGACCCTTTCCTAAATTCCTCCAAAGATTTAACCTTTGCCCCTATATATACAGATACCATAGGTCAATCGGGTGATCTCTAAATATAGGAAATTATGGGTATAGATCCTCACACACCAAAATTCATATAGAAGGCTATAAATAGAGGCTTATTAAGGAAAAATTATAAAGTGGTGAAATAAATGAGATGTATGAGGGAGAAGGTGGTTGAGTGTTAACGAGAGAGAGAGGGTGTGTGTGTGTATAAGGAGGAGTAGGATAGAGACTGAAACTCTAGGGTTTAGACAACAAAAATGATCATCACAGATGTTGGTGGATTGTGGTGATCGATAGTTTCTGAAAAATACAAAGAGATCGACTGGCATTTTCCCTTTTCGTCTACTCCTCCCCTTAATTGATACCATTGTTCTTCATCATTTCCATTGTTGTTGGGAGTGCGTGCAATTTGTGTACTGTATTATGTGTACGTAGGGTGAGAGAGAGTAGGCGAGTATAAAGGGTCTTTAACGTCTTCTTTGAGTGGCGAGTAGAAGAGGTAGCTATTGCAGTTTAAAAATCTTGTTTGTCAAACTCCAAAGATGATATGATTGGCTTTTTTCAAGTAATAATAAAATATCCTTTTGTTTCAACATTGAGCATTTTTTTGTACAAAAACAAAATGAAAAATCCATTGCACGTATATGTTTGTGAGCTGATCTTTATGGTTTTACTTTAGATAACAAGCAAAACCATAAAAAACCCAAAGTTTTATGGATAAATTATTACTCCTTATAATACAAACAAAATGAAAAATCCATTGCACATATATCTTTGTGATCTGATCTTCATGGTTTTACTTTAGATAACAAGCAAAACCATAAAAAACCCAAAGTTTTATGGATAAATAATTACTTCTTATAATACAAACAAAATGAAAAATCCATTGCACAAATATCTTTGTGAGCTGATCTTTATGGTTTTACTTTAGATGACAAGCAAAACCATAAAAAACCCAAAGTTTTATGGATAAATTATTACTCCTTATAATACAAACAAAATGAAAAATCCATTGCACATATATCTTTGTGATCTGATCTTCATGGTTTTACTTTAGATAACAAGCAAAACCATAAAAAACCCAAAGTTTTATGGATAAATAATTACTTCTTATAATACAAACAAAATGAAAAATCCATTGCACAAATATCTTTGTGATCTGATCTTTATGGTTTTACTTTAGATAACAAGCAAAACCATAAAAAACCCAAAGTTTTATGGATAAATAATTACTCCTTATAATACATTCATTTAAACCAACCTCCACCTAAATAAATTTTAATTGTATTTACACGGATTAACATGATACTTATAATTCACACAGATTAATATAATAATACTTATAACACACAGATAAACACAATGGGTTATTCTTGATGTAACCCAAATTTGTACATAAATTGTACATTGTCTGTGTACACATGCATTTATATGATATAAAATTCTACCTATTTTCAAACGAATTGTCTGTGCACACAGACAGATAGGGACATGTGTACAATTTGTGTACACATCTGGGATACACCTAGTATTTTTGTAACATATAATACACACTCTACTCTAAGATAATAACTTGAGTTAGGTGACTTTGTTTTTGTTTGCCAATAAATGTTTTTGTGTTTAATGATGAACATATGTCTAAATAAAAAGGCAGTGGTGATAGAGTATAATTCTAGATAGAGGTGAGAGGTAGAAAGAAAAAGTTCTTTGCATTCAATGTTTTTCAAGCCTTTACATTTACCCCATAGGGGGGATTTGGGTTGAGCTCCCAGGTTTGGGCATGGGTGGCCCAATTACAATGATGGGTCATTCAAAAGGCTGCTTATATGAAGTTATTCTAATAAGTACAATGTGAAATCTATCTTCTAAAAACTCTAGCCGAGGTGGCCAGGATGAGGCCTCTAGGCTAAGAAGGCTAAACCGCAGTGACTGTTCTTGAGTTGAGTTGTTAGATCCATTGTAGTCTTGTTTGCATATTCATGGATATGTGGACAATGGGTCTAGGCTCATGTACTCTATCAAGTGAGAACACTTGTGAATTTTTATACTTTAATAATTATAATATTAATTTTTGTGATCATGATTATGTTCAATATAACATAATAGAGACCGTGAATGCATACCTGGAGTAAATCATGGTGATGGTGTAGTAGCTAAGCAAGACATCGGGAGTAAGACTTCATTGATCTCTTTAATGCGGTAATGGAAAAATATATTTCTTCGTATCACTTGAAATTCATGGTCATTATCTAGATCTTTGTATTCTTCCTATTTCAAATATGTCAAGCAGTAGATGACTGACATAGTCGTGTCCTTGTGTACTCAAGTCATGGTAGTTCTCAATTTAGCTATTTTATCCAAATCGGTGACAATAAGGCATTGAGCTCAATGGATTTGGTGACAGCACTGACAAAGAGGGTTTGGATAAAAAGTTAGAGTAAATCCCTCATCATTTTTCATTATAAAATGTGATGACCTAATCGTGCATATGTGAAACTTTAACATTCAACAGTTAAATCCTAATGAGGACCATAAAGTAATTTTGTGATGCATTTTGTATATTTATGTGATGTGCATTGTAACATTTAATTTCAGATATGGTGCATGGTTTAGGCTGGTGCAAAAAATTACACTACAATGTATACAATTATGTACATTTCCTATTAAGTGATATAACTATATATCTTAACACATTTAATTACCTAATACTACAATGTTTCTCAAAAAAAATTATCATCACATACAAGTATGTCATTGCTTTGTGCTTTTAAAGGTTGATCTCATCTTGTCATCCATAATATTTTTAGATAAAATTCCAAAATTAGTTTTCATCGCTTTCATAAAATAAGCATATCATTTTGAACACACACAAATATATAAATATAAAGTTCTTCATTTAAACATAAAAAGACTTTATTCATCGGTGAATCATGGGGGTCGCATCATCATTAATGGCTGCCATAATGAATGGTTTGACCTCCTCCTAAATTTAATGCAATAACTTCAACATTAAGAAGATCCTCAACGCTTATCTTAATATGTGTTAAACTAGACACTACAAAGAAAATGTTGATTAAACTACGGCTAAAATTGAAAGTTAGATAATTTTTCAATTTAACGAGTCATGTATGACAATAGACCTTTGATTGAACGTTGTGCTCTAGACGTCATTTAAATTTAACGTGTTTTAAATCATTGCGACCTTTCAAGTGAAAGATGTAGAGAAGCAATGCACACATACAATCTAGGGTTCTCAAAAGACCACAATGATTACCTTAATTTATGAAGGCTTCTAAATAGAAAAATCATGGTCATTAATGATGAGGAAGGGGTGAAGTAAAACATAAACAAGGAAGCTAGTCTAACCGTGATGCAGTTAATAATATGGTTGTCGACATTAATGGTAATGAACCTTCAATTATGCAGAAGGAAATGAGATCTTTTATACAATTTATCACATGTTCCGGACTGAAAGTGTTTCCTAGTGATGAAATTTATTATATCAATAAGAAAACTTTTCCAGATATTGGAGAATATTATGACAATGATTAAAGATAAATATGAAATATAAATCAAAACTGTTAGAACAAGAGGATGAAAATAGTGAAATATAAGGGTGTGAAATATGGCTGGACCGGATATCACTTATAGTCACGTATTAAATATGATTTCCTAAAAGTTTACTATCTACCCTTATCACAGTAACCGGGTTACAAGATAGAACTTTTGGGATAAAAAGTAGGGGTGAGATCGGTCCGGTCTGGGTCGGGTTTTTGCTAAACCCGGAAATTACCCGGAAGGTCTCGGGTTATGAAAATTAGGGACCGGAACAAAGCCCATTATATTCGGTCCGAGTCGGGTTTTTGGTAGCCCGGGTTCGGTCCGGGTTCGGGTTGGACCGGTTAAAGCCCGGTTGTGAAATGTGTCATTGTTCTTTTATATTTTAACACTTATTTTCAAATAAAATTAATCAAAAATACAAACCGCAAATAATAACACAAATATTAGTCTCCAAAATCATCAACAATTCAAATTTAAAGAAGATAATTATCTTAATATTTTATGTAAGATGTATATATATAAATAATATAGGTTTCATAAAAATATTACGAAATAAATTTTATAAATCAAAAAGTTACTAGAGCTGCTATAAATATATTCTCATGGTCATCATTACGCTAAACAAATTCAACATATTTCTAGTCACTAAAAGTTACTAAATCTTTTTTTATCCACCGTGATTATAATCATACATTAGGAAATATTTTATTTATATTCATATACTATATGAATTTTATATTAAAACTAATTGTTTCGGGTTTTTTCGGTCCGGGCCGGGTTATAGATTTTAAGGCCCGTTAATGATCTCGGAATTTTCGGTTCGGTCCGGGTTTTTTTTTAATTCGGGTCGGTTAAAAAGAAAAAACCCGGACCAGCATCATAATTCGGGTCGGCCCAGGGTCAGTTTCCGGGTTTCGGTTCGGTTTTTCCCACCCCTAATAAAAAGAAGGTGTGTGGTGTATTTTAGCTACTGATAAAATAACACCGAACAAGTGATTTGTATATAAAGTGGTCTAAACACTTTATTACTAATACTGCAGATAGAAATAATAGAGTAAGGCAATTAGAGAGATTGACAAAATGAATTTGCCGTGTCTCGTCAATTCAACATGGTCCTCATATTTATAACTAGAGAAGTGTCTCTTTGAAAAGGATTAACCGAAATGATCGAATGCTGAGACGGTTATTAAGCCTTCGATACATTGCACCTTTTCAAAAGAACACAACCATTCCTTTTAATTTAAAAATAAAATGAACCAACATGTGCTGCAGCACTAACAGGGCCGGTCCTGGGGCATGGGCAGGAGGGGCATGCGCCCAGGGCCCTTTGCTCCAGTAGGGCCCATAAATTTCTCAAATATATATGTGTGCGTGTGTGTACATCGATATTTTAATTATATGTACATCCTAAATCTATAAAAGGTAAAAAAAAATCAAACTTATTTTTTTAGATACTTCTAATTAGTTATTCAACATCTACACGGTACAAGTCTATAATTTCGAAACATCCACATTAGAATTCATTGGGAACATATTTCACCAATTCTTTTGAATCATGATGGGTTATTACATTAATTTTAATCTTTTAGTGTACATGTCTTATGTATATCCAGAATTTATTGATATATTTCACAATTCACAATTTTTCTCCGATTCTCTCATTTAGTGAAATATATATTGAGCTTTAGTGTCTATAATTTCGAAACGTAGAATTTGTTTTTGTCTAGTGAAAATGTAATTTAAAATATGAAAAATTACTCCTTATACAAGATAGAATTTCACAACATTCCTTAATTTAAAATTTTTATTACACCTAATAGTGGCACCACTTGTTTCACTCGGCTCTTAGGTACATTGTATCCTCAAATGTCACTTATCAAATTCCCTACACACACACACACACACACACATATATATATATATAGACACACACACACATAGTATTTTCTAACCATATGCTTTGTTAGTTTTTTTATGTGTTATACTAGTATTTGGACGGTAAAATTGTATAATTTTAAATTGTAGATTATTAAAGCAAAACGAACATTATAAACGTTCTCGCGCTATCCCCGAGGCCCAATCTATTTGTACTGTCCCGGGCCCATTAAATGTCAGGACCGGGCCTGAGCACTAAATAACTTTTAATACTCCGTATTAAAACTTAGCATTTATAAAGAGCAAATAAGTACAAATGTAATAAAGTAGTATTATCATAATTATTAAGAGACACACGTGCACATGTGTTCTCTTAATTTATATAATAATTATTATTACATTTAAATAACATCATTTGTTTATAAAATGACTAAGGACCATGTAAATTAACAATTGAGCTTTATTTTCAATAAATCTCCAACAATCCTCCTCCATTTATTGAAAATAAATATACTCAGTCCTTGACAAAATAGACCACTTATCAAGACTTATGCATAAATGAAAGTGTCTTAAAGATTGAACTTTCATTTAGTGCAATATTCTTTACAATATTTCAGATCATAATAGTAGACTAAGCTTTGAACTATACAACCACTTTGAAATATTGAAGATATTACACACACAAGTCTTTATATAATTTCACTTAGAAACTTGACACCATTAACAGCCTTGTGTCCATATCCATTCATGAGCTCCAACAAGTAAAGCCTTAAACTTGGTGAATCGGCCGCCATTCTAGCTCACATAGGTAGACCTTTTCAAATTGTGTTCTGCAATCAAACACTTTATCAAAAGATCTATTAAGACATAGTCAACTTCATTACACATTGCAGTCTCAAGCACTAACCTCGGGATGGTTAATTTTCAAAAGTGCTTCAATCACGGAGTGACTTACTCATCATCATTGAACTCAAGATCTAGCGTTGTACTAGACGTTGAGTTGCGCTTTCTTTCACTTGTGATTATTTTCCAAGGGCTTTAACCCCATCCCTTTTACAGTTTTGTACACCATGTCTCTTGGCATCGCTTTTGTAAAAGGATCCGCCAAATTCACACGTGACCGTACAAAATCAATCACAACAACTCCAGAACTTATAAGTTCCCGCACATAGCTATGTCTCACTCCTATGTGCCTTGACTTACCATTGTACACATGATTATAAGCTTTTGACAGAGTTGATGCACTATCACAATGGATTGATATCGAAGCTATAGGTTTAGGCCATATTGGAATTTCCGACACCAAGTCCTTTAGCCATTCCACTTCTTTACAAGCTGATGCTAAAGCTATAAACTCCGAAGCCATGGTAGAGTCAGTGATACAAGTTTGTTTCTTAGAATCCCATGAAATAGCACCTCCTCCAAGAAGGAATAACCATCCACTTGTGGATGAATAATCCTCTTGATTAGTTATCCAACTTGCATCCGTATAACCTTCTAATATAGAGGGTTCACTCTTGTAACATAAGCCGAAGCTCATTGTTTTCTTTAGATATTTCAGCACTCGCTTCAAGGCCTGCCAATGAAATATACTAAGATTACTAGTATATCTACTTAGCTTTCCTACCGCAAATGCAATATCTGGCCAGGTGCTAGTCATTGCGTACATCAAACACCCAATCACCCTAGCATATTCAAGCTGTGATACAGCGTTCCCACTATTTGGAACTAATTTCCAACTAGGATCCATGGGAGTGGAAACTTGTGAACAATCCAAACTCCCAAATCTTTTCAACATTTTCTCTATATAGTGAGATTGTGTTAAGGTGATAGTATCACCTTGTTTAATTATCCTAATTCCAAGGATAACTTCCGCTTCACCCATATCTTTCATGGAGAAGTTTGAACAGAGGAAAGCTTTTGTTTCTTTCACTTGCCTCAAATCCGTGCCAAATATGAGCATGTCATCCACATATAGACAAATAATGACACCGTTACCGTGCTCATTAAATTTGCTATACACGCACTTGTCTGATTGGTTTATTTTAAAACCATTTTCCAGCACCACCTCATCAAACCTTTGATGCCATTGTTTAGGTGCTTGTTTCAGACCATACAAGGACTTGACAAGTTTACAAACTTTCTTTTCTTGTCCTTTAACAACAAACCCTTCGAGTTGTTTCATATACACCTCCTCCTCAAATTCACCATTCAAGAATGCTGTTTTGACATCCATTTGGTGAATGACAAGATTGTGAATAGCCGATAAAGCAATTAACAATCTTATGGTAGTTATTCTAGCTACCGGTGCATATGTGTCAAAGTAATCAATACCATGTTTTTGTTTAAAGCCTTGTGCAACCAATCTAGCTTTAAACTTGTCAATGGTACCGTCTACTTTCATTTTCTTCTTGAAAATCCATTTACAACCGATTGGTGTGCAACCAGGTGGTAAATCACTTAGAACCCAAGTATTATTGCCCATGATTGAATCCATTTCATCATTTACGGTTTCTTTCCAGAAGGAAACATCTTGAGATTTCATTGCCTCTTCAAAAGAGTTAGGATCCTCCTCAACACTATAACAATATAGTGTTTGAGTTTCAAGGGTCTCTCTTGATCCCTCAACCAAATACAATTGAAAATCGGGACCAAAAGATTTTTCCTTTTTAGCCCTCTTACTCCGTCTAATTTCAGGTTCATTTTCATGATCCTTTTCCAGTTCATGTAAGTGTGAATTACTTGGACCGGGATCAACATCCTTTGGCCTAGGAATAGAAGTGAACCGCTTCTCATCAAAAAGAGCATCCCTAGACTCAATAACAGTGTGAACCGCAATTGAGTCATTCGGTTCAATAACATAGAATCGATAAGATTTACTATGTTCGGCATATCCAATAAATATGCACTCTACTCCCTTTTCACCTAACGTTTTTTGTTTAGGCTCCGGTAATCTCACGATTGCCCTACAACCCCATACCCTAAGATAACTTAGTTGGGGTGTTCTTTTGTGCCAAAGTTCATATGGGGTAATCTTATTTTTCTTGTTAGGCACTCTATTAAGAATATAACAAGCAGTTAACATAGCATCACCCCAAAATCCATTACTCAAGCCCGAATTAGACAACATGGAATTAACCATTTCTTTTAAAGTTCTATTCTTTCTTTCAGCAATGCCGTTTTGTTGCGGCGTGTAAGGGGCTGTTGTTTCATGGATTATTCCAACGGATTCGAAAAAATTAGGCTCATAATATTCTTCTCCTTTGTCCGTTCTAAGCCTTTTTACTTTCTTTCCGTTTTGGAGCTCAACTTCCGTTTTAGAAATTTTGAATTTATCCATTGCCTCATCTTTTGAAAATAAAAGATATATATAACAATATCTTGTTCAATCATCAATAAATGTGACTACATATTTTTTATTTACAAAAGATGGAGTGCTATGGAAATCACTATGCACTAATTCAAGCATGTTGGATTTTCTTTCAATATTTTGAAAAGAATTTCTAGTGATTTTATTTAACATGCAAGTTCTACATTTTTCTACGTTAATATTAAAAGGAGGAATTAATCCTACTTTAGACATATCTCTTAGTATACGGTAATTAACATGACATAACCTATTGTGCCACAAAGAAGAATCACAAACCATATAAACAGAATTAACAACTTTATTTACAACACTTAGTTTGAACATGCCATTACAAAAGAAACTTTGGCCTACAAATACACCACCCTTAGATAAAATAAATTGATTTGCTTCAAAGCTAAGTTTAAACCCAAAGTTATTTAGGATGCCACCAGAGACAAGATTTTTCCGGATTTGTGGTACAAAGTACACATCATTAAGAATTAATTTCTTTCCGGAAGTTAATTCCAACTCTACTTGCCCAATTCCTTGAATTTGCACAGTAGAATCATTTCCCATGTATAAGACCGGCCCATCTTGCAACTCTTTGAGAGTCTTAAAAGCTTGCCTATCTTTACATACATGCCTTGTTGCTCCGGTGTCGATCCACCAGGATTCATCATCCTGCACAACACAAATTTCAGAAAGCATAGCTATAAAAATCATGTTGTTATCAATATCATTTGTAACTACAAAAATATTCTGACCTTGGTTGTCTTGGCCACCGTTAGGATGACCGTTCGATTGGGCCTTCTTCTTCTTCTTCACCTTCAGACAGTCCCTCTTGAAGTGTGGACCACCACATTCCCAACAAGAGCCTACTTTCTTATTTTCGGCTTCTTTTGAAACTTGGAACCTTTGGTGAATTTCCCGGGACCTTTTTTTTTTCTTAGTCCCACTTGATTGTCCCTCCTCCATAACATTTATAGAGGAAATCGGAAGGTCGTTCTTTTTACCATTGTCACCTTCACGCAACTTAATGTCTTCTTCAATTTGAAGTCGGCGACCAAGTTGCTCCATTGACAAATCCTCCTTTTTGCGTTTGAGGCTATTTTTCACTTCCTTCCATGACAGTGGTAATTTGTCGATTATAGAACCGACCGCAAAGGTTTCATTTACATGCATGTTGTGTATCAAAAGTTGATCATATAAACGTTGAATTTCATGAAATTGTTCCATGACCGGACGGGAATCAACCATTTTGTAACTATTAAAGTTACTAATGAGAAATTTCTTACTCGAAGCATCCTCGGTCATGTACTTGGATTCTAGCAATTCCCACAACGTTTTAGCAAATTCAACATTTTGATACACATCAAAAAGAGAATCACACATACCATTCAAAATGTGCCCACGACAAATGTAGTCGTCGTTGTCCCACTTTATGCGGCGGCGGCTTGTTTCCAAAGCCTCGTTTTCATCATCCTCGGGCGGCCTCAGGGTGCTTAACACATAGACGACCTTCAAAGTAGTGAGCAGAAAATGCATCTTTTTCTGCCACCTTCGAAATTCCACACCTTCGAACTTTTCCAATTTTTGAAAATTGGTGTTGATATCACGTAGAGTAGCGGCCATAATTTCGGACTAGTAAACTTTTAGATTGTTAGAACAGGAGGATGAAAATAGTGAAATATAAGGATGTGAAATATGGTTGGACCGGATATCACTTCTAGTCACGTATTAAATACGTTTTCCTAAACGTTTACTATCTACCCTTATCACAGTAACCGGGTTACAAGATAGAACTTTTGGGATAAAAAGAAGGCGTGCGGTGTATTTTAGCTACTGATAACATAACACCGAACAAGTGATTTGTATATGAGGTGGTCTAAACACTTTATTACTAATACTGCAAATAGAAATAATAGAGTGAGGCAATTAGAGAGATTGACAAAATGAATTTTCCGTGTCTCGTCAATTCAACATGGTCCTCATATTTATAAGTAGAGAAGTGTCTCTTTGAAAAGGATTAACCGAAATGATCGAATGCTGAAACGGTTATTAAGCCTTCGAAACATTGCACCTTTTCAAAAGAACACAACCATTCCTTTTAATTAAAAAATAAAATGAACCAACATGTGCTGCAGCACTAAATAACTTTTAATACTCCGTATTAAAACTTAGCATTTATAAATTAAAGAGCAAATAAGTACAAATGTAATAAAGTAATATTATCATAATTATTAAGAGACATACGTGCACATGTGTTCTCTTAATTTATATAATAATTATTATTACATTTAAATAACATCATTTGTTTATAAAATGACTAAGGACCATGTAAATTAACAATTGAGCTTTATTTTCAATAAATCTCGAACAAAAACTTCAATGAGGATGTCATAATAATTAGTCATGGACCCGGTTCGGGCCGCCCGGCCCGGGACCGGCCCGGCCCGCCACTGTGCGGGCCCGGAACCGGACCAGTTCTCGGGTCCGGGTCGGGCCTAGGCCCGGTGGGGGGGGGGATGGGTCCGGGCTCGGGCCTTGTATTTGGCGAACCGGCCCGGCCGGGTCGGGCCCGGGCCCGGGCCGAATTGTTTTTTTTTTTTTTGTTTTTTTTTCATTTTTTGGGTTAGCCGGGTTGGGCTTGATGTTAGGAGGGGTTTGGGGGGGTGGGGGGGTGAGGGGGGGGGTTAGGAAAGCAAAAAAAAAAAATGACCGAACCGGAGGCCCGGCCCGGACCGGACCCGGTGGCTACGCGGGCCGGTCCTGGGCCTTCCTTCCAAAAAAAAGCCCGGCCGGGCCCGGCCCGGCCCGGGTCCATGACTAGTCATAATTAAGATGTATGACTGGATACTAAGGAGTAGTTAGGTAGTTACCTATTATGGTCAACCAATGTTGATACCCCAATTTAAGTTATTAAATTAAATGGAATATGAGTTGTCTATCCTTTGCGCTAAGCCTACGTAAATTCATTAGCTAGATTACATGCAACATGTTTAATATCGTTCTTTAAAGCCACTATATTGTAGAGAACTCTAAAGGTATGGCTTTGAAAGTCAGTGGGCATATGTTTTTTCTCCAAAAGACCTAAAGGAAACTCCCTTTAAAACTAATCAGTTATTATCAGGTCGGTCTAATAGGTGATATGCACTAATTAGTAGTGCATATGTTTTTATGTTTGATTTGTGTGGATTGTTTACCGTTTTATTTAGTTTGTAAACAATTGTGTGATTTTAGTTGTAATTGTATTTTAATCTTCATTTATAAGTTGTAAAGTAGAATTAGGAATTATGGTGTTGAAAAGGAGGACTTTGAAATGAAGAAAAAGGAGATTGGACTGTCCAGGAGCAGAAACCCGACCGGGGCATAACACTTGACCCGGTCGGGTAAGATTTAATAGACGAAAGTGGCTGGAAATTACACAGACCCGGTCGGGTCCCCTATGCCACCCGGTCGGGTCAGACTTGACCCGGAATACCAGGACGTGCCGAAGATCACCAGAACGTGGAGGATATCTGATTTTGACCGGACCCGGTCGGGTAGGTACCTAACCCGGTCGGGTACCCGGCCCAGGGTGTTGAAAAACACCTATAAACAGCACACTTTTCCTTCACTTTTAATCACTCCTTCTTCCATACTCTTAAGCTCAACTTAGAATAGTATTTCTTTTATATTTTTATAGCATGTTTAGTCTCCAAATGAGGAGCTAAACTTCCATTTCTTGGTGTTGCTCTTGAAGCTTGTTGATTATTAAAGTTGTGAGTTATTTTCTTAACTTCTTTCCTTGAATATTAATTCTTCCTTTAAATACTATTTCTATATCAATGTTGGGGAGTGTTACCAAGATGACAATTAGTTAACATCTTGACATTAGTTATAGTAATAGTTATTTCTTCCTCTATGTTAATATTGGGGAGTGTTACTAAGATGACAATTAGTTAACATCTTAATATTAACTATAGTAGGATTCATCTTCTGATCTTCAATATTCTTCCTTGAGTATTAATTAATTCCTATTCATATTTCATATTAATATTTTGAACATTACTTAAAGGATCAACTAGTTTTGTTTCATATATTAATTACTACTAGAATCAATCAACGAACCGATGGTTAATCGTTGATAGTTTCACAAGTAAGTAACTTTGGTTTATTAATGCACGGTCGTGGTTAATAAACTTAAGTGAGATTAATTTTGTTGGTTAAACCGAAACCGTTGTGTTGAGGTTATCAATCTCAATTGATTTCATCAAGGAGTTTAAGAGATTAAATGCTACTATTAAATCGGTATACGATGTTGTTCTATATTTGATTAATAGTAAGGGTTATTAATGAACGGTCGTTGTTAATAACTACCCTCGATGAATTGGATTTACTCCTCGATTGAGTATTTGAGAGGGGATAAGTTATAGATATAACAATGATCGACTAAAATATATCAACAAGTTGAAAGTAGCAATGCCAAGTCCTTTTTATCTTTGAAATAAATCACATATAAGTCGTTCATCTTCGTACTTAATTAATTAAATCATACAATCCCAAAATCCCCCCTTTTTGACTAGTTCTATAAAGAGAGAATTATTCCTTTCCCTGTGGATACGAACTCTACTACGCTATACTACGTATAAGTGTTAGTATTGAATTTATTTTGACGCACTGTGACAAAGTGCGCGTCAAATTTGGCGCCGTTGCTGGGGAAAGGCAATTAGTTTTCTTTTTATTTTATTTCATAAAAATAAAAAAAATAAAAATTAATAAAAATAAAAATATAAAAACTAAAATCTTACTCTTCTATTTTTTTGAGCTTACATGAGTATATGGATACCAACACATCATCCTTAGACCATTTGGAGTGGTAAGAGTCTAAAAAGCTAAAATATGGACTCCGTCGATATGAAAACAGTGTTTAGACTCCGTCAATAATAATTTTCTTTGCATTCCAGTACCGTCAATAAAATACACTTGACATATTTTTTACATATCAAATTAGTAGATCATTAATTAAAGTATTATAAGTAATATTTTCTTTTAATTGTTTTCTCAAAATAATTATAAAATAAAAAAATACACATTTTGATGTAAAAAAATATAAATTTCATTAATTTTTTTAAACGTTTTTCGGTAACAAAAAATGAACTTAGTTTAAGTAATGTTCGTTTATTATCAAATTCTCTTCTAAACGTTCAATTAAATCATGAGTGAAAATTTTATGAGTATTGTCATTAAAATCGAATTCCATTTAAGCATCCTCGTTAGTTTTTTTGTAACGTTTTCCCGCTTCTATAAAATGAGATGATGTAATATTCAGTTATTTATGCACGCTTCATGAATTAAAAATTTGTGTTTTCGTGTTTTTTGTGCTCAAGAAAACTGCAACAGTTAAAACCTGAAATTCTTTTTTCACTTTATATATGTAATATTGGTGTCATATGAAAGCTCCTAAAAATTCATGAATTTTGATATAGTTTTTGAAAAATTTGGAGACCAAATAAAAAAGTTATAACACTTTAAAAGAATAAGTGATTTTTTGTTTTTGTTTGAGGACCCACACTTTTGATACAATCTTCACCCTACTTTGCTCTGCTTTTGTTTTAGCTAGAGTGGATCAAATCGGCTATATGTAGACTCTCTCCCTCCACCTTTCCATTTATAAGCCCCCATATAACCTCTTTCCAACCACCTATGTATAGATTTAGGAGTCTAAAATTCCATTTTAGACATTTTAGACTCTTAAAACTCCACCACTAGAGATAGTCTTAGAGAGTAAAATTTCCACCTTGACTTCTCTAATAAAGGAATTTATATTAAACTCAAAAGCTCAAGATGTCAAGACGTGCAACATTTGCATGTCTCACAAGCATCTTACAGATTTTTGCCCAAAGCTCCGAGATGAATACCTTGAACAAATTGATAATGTTGGTTACGAAAGGGATGTACCTCACATGAGGTATGATCCGTTCTCCAACTCTAACATGTCTACGGAGGATATGATCCGGGCTATTGCTACCAACATGACCACCATGCAAAACAACATGGTGCAATTCCAAAATGAGACCAAGTCTAGCATTTCAAACTTGGAAACTCAAATGATTCAAATAGCCGGAGCCGTGAGTAGGCTTGAACCAAGGGATTCGGGAAAACTTCCTTCTCAAATAGAATGTGATCCTAATTAAACAGCAAACTTTTGCTATCACATTGACAAATGAAAAGGAAATGCAAAAGGAGATCCAGAATCCAGAAGAAGTAGAAGAAGAAAAAGACACGGAGCTCCAACTGGTCAAAGAAGAGGATAAGCCGAGCTTCAAATTCAAATTTTTGGCATTGTCATCCTTTGAGGTATCTCCATCATCTCTGGAAGCTTTAAGAGAAACTCGTAAACTTGAAAAGGACAATGACATTTCTGAAATCTTCTTCAAAATTGAGGGATCGAAAAACTTTTCATTGACCATGTTAAACGATAATTTCTTCCCCTTCCTCCCACCACATGAATCAATGAAAATCTGGATATTTGATCCTGGAAAGATTTCCAAAGTGAAAAGTTGAGAAATTGAGCATTCCTATGGAAGTCCTAGGAGTGAAAGTGTGAAGAAGATAAACTATCACGATCCGAGTTTGAATGACTGAACACAATGATAATGTCGTGTCGCGACGTTAAATGAGGCGCTTCTTGGGAGGCAACTAATGCAAGGTACATTTACTTGTTTTATTTTATTTTTGCACTTTTCAAAAAAAAAAAAGAGTCTGGGGCATATACCCGGTCGGGTATCACATATAACCCGGTCGGATTTCTTCTAAAAACATCACACCCGCCCACTTTACCCGGGCAAGGCAACTCAAGAAAACAAAAATTTAACTTACCCGACCAGGTACCTCTCTTCACCCGGCCGGGTGATTCTGTTAAAAACATACTGCCAGCCCTCAGGAGTTAAAGATCGACCGTGTGAGGGAATTTTCAGAAAACC